GGAGAATTCAGGAAATTTTGACCACATGTTGTCAGCAGGGCAGACAGCGCACATTTAAATATTTAACATTTAAGACATTTTCTTTGTTAAATAACAGTAAAAAGCCAGTAATCCTCTGGTACCATGGAAACCTTCAAAAGGGCCTTCATCTTTCTGCAGTTTCTAAACGATGACTAAAATGTCAAATTCATTATAACAGCAGTTCAGTAATCTGTGACTCACAGTAACATCTAGTCATTCATCAAACAAACCCAGGTTTGTTCTAACTGGGTAAACTGTAATGTCTGAACCAGGATGAAATGCTGTTCATGTCTTAGTATTGCTTCCAGTTTTAGGGAGTTTTATGATAAAGAAAGAAAGAAAGAAAGAAAGAAAGAAAGAAAGAAAGAAAGAAAGAAAGAAAGAAAGAAAGAAAGAAAGAAAGAAGAAGAAGAAGAAGCAACACACTGAATGTCACCATTGTGCTTAGTGCTATTTGACTCATTTTACATTTGTAGTTTGCTCATGTTTAACATTAACATCTTCAGCAGTGTGCATTGAGCCTGATGGGATCCTACTGCTGGCTGGATATTTTGTGGCAATGGCTACGTTGAGATAAGGCTGATCGGATAAACAAGAACTGAAGGATGTGTGCCTCAGGAAGCAGTCTGCCAGGTGTAATAACTGCCAGGAGGAGGCGCTTATCTCATATTGTGCAGAAGCATCCCCGAGGAGCCGAATCACAAAAGAAGTGAAGAATACTGTATGTCTTAGCTATCCTTTTTATGATTTAGCTTCCCTGACATTGGCACATTATTGATGACGACAGAGTCAAGTGTGACAGATCTGGAAAAATACTCTCAGAAAAACATAATAAAAAAGATGAGAAGCAGTGATACAACACAGTGCCATTTTCAAATCGGGCTTGAAATTTGTCAATGAAACAGTTTCAGAAGTTAGACACTTGAAGTGCTGCTCTGTAAATCAAACAGACAATAATGATAGCTGCAATATATGCTGAGAGTTTTAAGCAGTGAAAGCCTCTTCTGTTCTCCTCACTGAATTGTTTATTTAGAAAAAGAAGAGTGACAGATGAGACACATGAGCACATCTCTTTATAATTAAGGAAGAAAAAGTATATTATTAGGGTTTAATGACCGTAATTAGCTTGTCTGGTTGCAATTGTTGTGAAGAAGTGGAGACGTATGAATAATGATGTGCTGTTTGAAAGCTTCTATACCTTAAGACGGTGATTCTCAGCCAAGGGTAATTGTAACTTAGTTGGTGCTTTTGTAGTTTCCAAGGGATAGTTGAAAAGTTGCAATTGTGTGGCGTTTAAAAAAATAAAACAGATAGTGTCATAGTAAAAAGAAAGCACACCCTCTTTCAGTTCTACATTTTTACATGTCAGGATTAAATAAAAATAACTGGGTCCTTAAAATTAGGAAACTACAAAACATGACTCATTACACAAAATCATTATTTATTGAGCAAAAACTGAGCCAAAATGCAGAAGTAATGTGTGAAAAACTAAGTACACCCTTCCATAAGAATTAGGAGGCGAAATAGCAGCCAGGTGCTGCTAATCAAATGCACTTAATAATTGATCACCACCAAGTGTGAACACTGTTAAGAAAAGGCAGAGGTTTTAGCAGTTTGCAGGTCAGGTGTGTTAACAGCTAAGGGGGGATTTTCTTTTCTTTTCTTTCTTTCTTTCTTTTTTGTTATGGCTGAATCAGAAAAACATTAGAAATGTACTGTAAAGCACAAGTTGATTAAAAAGAAAAATGAGTCACCAGTGGACAGGAAGATTGTGGCAGTGTAAAATTGATCTAAAAGCAATAAATAAATAGAAAACAATTAGCTGAATAACTCCAAACAATACATATAAAATAGCCAGCTGAAAATAGAAAATGATTGGATAATGATCCTATTATACATTGGTAGATCATCTGGCAACAAAAACTTGAATTGTTCAGGAAAAATATTGAAATTATGGAATATGGCCAAAATGTCCAGGTTTAGCTTACAAATACTAACACAAATGCATAAGTATGAGTGGACTATACAATGACTCTTCAATAGTATTAAAATGACTGTTTAACTTTAAAAAGTTTGAACTCATTTGGAACATGTAGGTTCAGTGGGTTGGGAGTGCTGGAGCTGATCTAAGACATACTTTTATTCTCCAAGAACAAATATTTCATTAGTTTTTATTTACTATTGTATGGAGACAGAACATTTAAAAAGCTGAAAATAGTGCTCTATAATGCCCGAATTACAGATCTTCCTGTGCCAAATGAAGTATAAGACAGTTCAAAATCTTACATCGCACTCACTTCGGCGAAGTGAGTAAGATATCCTACAGATGCAAGTTACAACAGGTGTCAGAACATTTGACCCACATGTTTTGGTCATGCCCAGCTTTAATAACATACTGGTCTAAGATTTTTAAAACACTGTCAGAAGCACTTAACATCACTATCCAACCCAGTGCAGTAACGGCCATATTTGTTATTACAGATAGAAGACATTTGACAAGAGGGAAAAAGAGGGAACAGGGAAAAAAGACATAAAAACATCATTGCTTTTATAACACATTACGGTACTGCTTTGGTTTGGTTTGGTTTGTGGATGCAATTCATCCAATAAAAAAAAAAAAACCCCTTTCAGAGGGTCTAGGGACAATTTTTTCTTTGTCTGAGATCGAGTGCTAACATATTACGGTAGACTTAAAACCTTTCCCACCTAGCAGCCCCTGATGCTCCCTATGTTCTGAGTGGGTGGGTGGTATTGCTTTCCAAAGGCAAAGGAGGGGAATGTAATAATGATTATATGTCACTGTCAACCCCCCAAAAAAGCTGAAAATCTTTTTTTCTATGTTTAAAATTCTTATAATAACGATAATAACAATAATATGTGTCTTTCCATAAAACTTCGACTCATCTTACACCTCTAGAAAATCTAAAAACAGAACATTTTGTTTTCTCAATATTGCAGTGTTAATGCTAAAAAGAAAGAAAAACACAAACATTGATCCAACTTCAATAAAGCACTAGGGGGAGCATAGATTCACAAACACTGGATTAGCCTCCAGCCAATAGTTACGCTCAGGAGATTATTCAAACAGCGTCTATAAAAAGCTCTCCACTCCTTTCAATGTTACACTCAGAGGGTGGAAGTGAAGAGCACTTACAGATGAGATTTTTAACTACCTGTTGCATGCCATGGCAGTATTTTATCGAATACTTCTGCTGCTATCTGGTAAGGTGATTATTTACTTTAAAAGAGAGCTCCACAGGGAAGCATAGTGAAAACTACACGCTTAAGAAGTTATTTCAAGAGGTAGTCAGTGCATGTTTGAGGGGAAAACTACCCGTGTTTACACAAGAACAGTGATTCAGTGAGCACTTGAAATGGAGCAAATTGTGTTGATTTTGCTGTAAAATAGTATGCGCTTGTCTGTGATTTTAAGCCTTAGGTATGGTGTTCAGGGAGAGTAACAGGAAAGTCAGTCCTCTGAGTACTGTTACCTATTGCAACGGACGTCTGAACATTTCAATTCCAGCTACAGAAAGTTTCTTATATCCTAAATCCAATTTGCAGATACATTTTACAATATAAAGCCAGCAAATAGCAGC